CAGTTGCAACACAGAGAGAAATTCTAAAGAAACCTGAAAGCTATGGATACATATGTGTCAGCCAAAGTTAAGAACAAATTAAAATCCACTGATTTTAATGGCTAGAAGCCAACATGAATTTGTCAAGAACAAATCCTGCCAAGCTGATCTAGTTTCATTTTTTGATTGGGTAACCTCCTTGGTGGATTGTGGGAATGCTGTGAACATAGTATATCTTGACTTCAGAAAAGCTTTAGACAACGTGCCCCATGATCTCCCGATTAGCAAAATAGCTAATAGTGGGCTAGATGGATCCACAGTTGACTACAGAATTGGCCTCAAATAATGTTCATCAATGCCACTTGCTTAAACTGGGGAGAGGTAACAAGTGGGGTACTACAAGGTTTGTGGGTATAACAGCATGCCCTTGGACAGCCTGCTGCCCTTTATCAAGACCGCAGTTTCTGAACACTTCACAGTAATCAAAACATGAAGTGATTCAGACACAGGTTACTGTGCCCACATCCACAGCCTCCTTTTTTTGCAGGAGTGATGCTGGATCCAAGAGAAGCTCCCAGTACCATACCTGATCCTTTCAGCAGAGTGCAATCCCAGAGTGGGCTACACTCCCAGTACCAACTTAGGCACCCATTAACCAGCAGGATCCCTGGTTTCTCTGTATGGACCTCTGTATGCTGTCTGGCACCCCAACATGGGTTCATTACTTCCACACTAGCATCAGTTAAAGCGTCAAAATACATTGGTTTATAAATTCACTAAAGAAAAAGCATGCAAATCTAAAGTTTAGGTTTCCACTATAACTTGTTGCTAAGCAAGCAAAAAATATGTTCATATACGTGTATTACCTCACAAATCAGGTGTTCATGATTTATTTATTTATTTATTTATTTATTTATTAAAACATTTTTATGCCGCCCCATTCGCCGAAGCCTCGGGGCGGCTTACAACATAGATAAAACAAGTTAAAATCCATATAAAATAATCTTAATTAAAACTCACATTATAAAATAAGCCGCCCTGGCCAGATAAAATTCAATTGTATTTAGCATTTAAAATGTTGCTTAAATAAAAAGGTCTTAGCCTGGCGCCGAAAAACAAATAACGACGGCGCCAGGCGGACCTCTCTGGGGAGCGCATTCCATAACTTAGGCGCCACCGCTGAGAAAGCCCTTCTCCGAGTAGCCACCCTCCTAATTTCTCTCACGGAGGGCTCCCGCCGATCTCAGGGGGCGACTGGGCAAATATGGATGTAAGCGCTCCTTCAGGTAACCAGGACCCAAGCCGTTTAGGGCTTTATAGGTCATTACCAACACCTTGAATTGGGCCCGGACTTCAATGGGGAGCCAGTGAAGCTGACGGAGAACTGGTGTCATGTGAACATAACGTCCAGTCCCCGTCAGCAGCCTGGCAGCTCTATTCTGAACCAATTGAAGTATCCGGACCGTCTTCAAGGGTAGCCCCACGTAGAGCGCGTTACAGAAGTCAAGACGGGAAGTCACCAGCGCATGAGTCACTGTTGCAAGGCAGTCGTACTCCAGGTAGGGGCGCAGCTGATGAATCAGCCGAAGCTGGAGGAAAGCGCTCCTCGCCGCTGTTGTCACCTGAGCTTCAAGTGAAAGCTCCGGGTCGAGGAGCACTCCCAAGCTGCGGACCTTGTCCCTAGGAGGGAGTGCAACCCCATTCAGGACAAGGTTCAGGTCACCTTCTCCGAAGCCCGAACCGCCAACCAACAGGACCTCCGTCTTGTCTGGATTGAGCTTCAGTTTATTGGCCCTCATCCAGCCCATTACCTCGGCCAGGCACCGGTTCAGTACAGCCACTGCCTCACCTGGATTGGTGGAAAACGAGAGGTAGAGCTGGGTATCATCAGCATACTGATGGGTCCGCAGCCCACACCTCCTGATGACCTCTCCCAGCGGTTTCATGTAGATATTGAACAGTAAAGGGGACAAAATGGAACCCTGCGGTACCCCATGGCAAAGCTGCCATGGCGCAGAGCCATAGTCCCCCAACACCACCTTCTGGAATCGGTCGTTGAGATAGGAGCGGAACCACCGCAAAGCGGTGCCTCCGACCCCCAATCCCGCCAGCCTATCCAGAAGGATACCATGGTCGATGGTATCGAAAGCCGCTGAGAGGTCCAGGAGAACCAACAGGGACGCACTCCCCCTGTCCTTCTCCCTGCACAGGTCATCGTACAGGGCGACCAAGGCAGATTCAGTACCGTACCCGGGTCTGAAGCCGGACTGAAATGGGTCCAGATAATCAGTTTCATCCAAGAGTGCTTGGAGTTGTCCCGCCACCACTCGCTCTAACACCTTGCCCAGAAACGGGATGTTGGCCACTGGTCTATAGTTAGCGGCCATCCCTGGATCCAGTGACGCCTTCTTCAGGACCGGTCGGACTACCGCCTCCTTTAAAGGAGCAGGCACCCGACCCTCCCTCAGAGAAGCGTTAACCACTTCCAAGATCCAGGTTCCAATCCCGTGCTTGGAATCCTTTATTAACCAAGACGGGCAAGGGTCCAGAAGGCAAGTGGTAGGACGTACTCGTCCAAGCACCTTGTCCACATCATCGGGCCGCAATAACTGAAATTCATCCAATAATTCTGGACCAGACGGTAGCGTTGGTGTCTCCCTTAAAACCTCTGAATCAATAGTGGAATCCAGCTCGTGACGAATCTGAGCGATTTTCTCCCTAAAATGCTCGGCAAAGTCGTCACAGCAGGCCTTTGAGGGTGGAATCAGCTCTTCCTTTGGCCCTGGGTGAACCAGGCCTTGCACCACTCGAAAGAGCTCCGCCGGACGGCATTGTGAGGAGGCAATGGAAGCGGAGAAGTGTCTCTTTTTCGCCGCCCTCACCGCCACAGCATAGGCCCGATAGTGGGCTCTTAAGTGTGTTCGGTCAGATTCATCACGTGATTTCCTCCACCTACGCTCTAGCCGTCTCCCAACCTGCTTCATTGCCCTCAATTCAGGAGTGTACCAAGGGGAAGAGCGGGCTCTGCCCGATGGGAGAGGACGCTTAGGAGCGATCGTGTCTACAGCCCTGGTCATCTCCCCATTCCACAGTTCAACCAGAGCCTCGACAGGAGCACCCGTCTTGTCAGCCGGAAACTCCCCCAGAGCCTTCAGGAATCCTTCTGGATCCATCCGGCTCCGGGGGCGGACCCACACAATCGGGTCTGCACCCTTGCAGAGGGAGATGTCGCTCTCGAGCACAAACCTCACTAGGAAGTGATCTGACCATGACAGGGGAGTCAAGCATAAATTCCTCACCCTCAGACCACCCTCTTCCTGCCCCGTCGAGAAAACCAGGTCCAGAGTGTGTCCACGTTCATGGGTCGGGCCGGTGACATGTTGAGACAGCCCCATGGCCGTCATGGAAGCCATGAAGTCCTGAGCCGCCCCGGTCAAACTAGCCTCGGCATGGATATTGAAGTCCCCCAGGACCAGCATCCTGGGGGTCCTCAACACCAGGTCCGAGACCGTTTCCGTCAGCTCAGGCAGGGAGACTGTTGGGCAGAAGGGTGCACGGTACACCAACAGAATCCCCAATCTGTCTCGGTCGCCCAACACCAAGTAGAGACACTCCAGCCCTGGTCTCGAAGGGACAGGAAGTCCCGTGAGAGTGATGGAGGCCCGGTAAACCAAAGCGACCCCCCCTCCCCTCCCCTCCGGCCGTGAACAGTGCTGGACCATATACCCGGGCGGGCACAATTGAGAGAGGGCAACATCCCCCCCCTCTCCCGCCCAGGTCTCCGTTATACAGGCCAGGTCGGCCCCCTCATCCACAATCAAGTCATGGATGAGGGCAGATTTGTTATTGGCCGACCTGGCATTAAACAACAGCACCGTCAGGCCCGAGGGGCGACTGACAAGACTCCCTGGCACCTTCTGGCTGGGAGCAAAACCAGAAGTAGGGACAGGTGTCAGCCATCTGTCCCTCCTTCTTCTATGCAGACACGTTAAGCCCCCACCGCTATTACGTCCATTGCCCATCACCACACCAATGGCGGCGCCAGTGCGCTCCCCAGGAAACTCAGGCGGCAACATGGCCAGGGACGACTCCATAAAAACAAGTTAAAACACTTTAAAATTATAAAACATTTAAAATTGGCCGTTCAACAGAAGGGACTGCCACAACAAAAGAGCAAGTCCCCTGGCCAGCCTAGCCCCCCCCCGAACAGCCCCCCCAAACGGCGGCAAACCGCCCTTTGGCCGACGCCCTTTCGCCGCCGGCCCCGGCCGCTGCTGGTGCTTTGTAGCCGCGGGCCGCCCGACGCCCCACCCCGTCCGGGCACGCCTGCCACGTGTGCAGGGGCGTGGCAGGGCAGTCAGGTAGCGGCGGAGTCGGCGGCGCGGCGCGGTCTTCGCGCGGTCTTCGGGCGCGTGCGCGGCGCGGTCTTTGGGCGCGTGCGCGGCGCGGTCTTTGGGCGCGGTGCGGTTCTCGGGCGCGGGCGCGGTCTCCTGCCAGGTGTTGTTCCTCCCGCCGGCACTCCCCCCTGCAGCACTTTGTAGCCGCCGGCCACCCGACGCCCCCTTTCTCTTTCAGCTACAGATTTCCCTTTCTCTTTCAGCTACAGTTATCTTCCTATGCAGTTTGTATACTGCCACTAAAGCAGAGGATAACTGCAGCAGCACTGGACACTGGTCCCCATACGTTTTGGGTAAGGGAGAACTTCACATGCAGTAATGAGCTGTGCAGGAAATGAGGCTGATAAGGCAAGTGTCTAACTGGCATGCATGACTGTTAAATTAGCAAGAAAAGTATCTTGAATTTGCAGGTTATACTGGCAACCATGACTACTGAAATCTGCAACCTGTACTCTAAGTTCTGTTTCCCAGCACAAGTTCTCAAAAAGGAGTGAGGCAGGGTGGAGTCAGGAATATACAAAATATCACATTTTAAAGATAAATGACCATTTTAATGAACTGCAGAAAATAGGAACAACCTTTGTTTGGAAAACTTTAGCACTGATACCTTTTGGCTCGACTTACCACAGGCTGTTTGCAAAGGTAACGGCACAGTTCTCCAATATACTGAACAACTGTAACATTGTATTTTTTGCAGTCATCCCAGAACTGACTAGCTGAAAATTTCTTTCTTAAAACACATGTTGCACCTTGAGAAAAATAAAATCACACTTTCAGGATTCACATTTATTATTCTGCACCAGAGCCAATGGAGTTTCCAGAGTGCCCTGATCCTACTGCTGCCAAAGTGTTCTCTAGCCCTGCTTCCAAAGCACCCTAGTGAGCAATGCGGTTTCCCAGCTGCCTAAGCCTCTTGTCCATCTACCGCCAAATCCCCATCCATCCAAGTCCCCTGTATGCTCACTACCCAAGTTGTCTGCCACCCAAGCTGCCCATTGCAAAAGCTCCCACCTGTGCCCCCTCCCTTTCGGCCAATCACAGTTGATCCTACATAAAGTTTTAACAAGTGTTACATTCTACAACATCCCTGGCACTGGGATGTAGGGTTTATTGTTTATCCCCCTCCTGCTATTCTGCCGTTTTGTGTACAAGAAGCCTCTGCATCTTGTTTTCCACATATCAAAAAGTTACTAGTTGCATTGAGAGTGATACCTCACTCCATTTATAGTGAAGAAAGTATCTTATGCTTCCTAAAAATGTTTTTTTAGTTAAGATGAAATGATGCTGCTGTATTTTTTTGACAAAGGATTATTTCATTTACTCTAGATTTTTTTTTCAAAAATATACCATGGGAAAGAAAATATGTGCATGCCATTATAATCTGGAGTTAATGCAACATTGTATGAGTATGATTACATTTATACTCTGCCTTTGCTTCCTCTTACAAGAAACCCAAGTCAGCTTACAAGTTTCTTGTTCTTTCTATTTTATCCTCACATTTATCCCCGCAAGGTAGGTTAGGCTGAGAATTTGTGATGGCCCAAAGTCATCCAGTGACTTTCATAGCTAAGTAGGGCCTAGAATCTGCACTTCCCAGGTCCCAGTTTAACACTCCAATGACCATGGTGCACTAGTTCTCAAAAAGATTATCCTTCTGAAAAATACACACCAAACTAGAGGGCAAAAAACACAAAGTTATCCTCGAATGGCTGTATCATTCTCCCTAATAGGCGCCATATGTACCAGCCATGGCAGGTAACACCCTAGAGTGGCCTTCCCAATCTTGCGCCATCCAGATGTTTTGGAGTTCAGCTCCTATCAGCACCATGTAACTTAGCCAATGGCAATGCTGGAAGATGTAGAACAAAATATCGTAAGGACAATCACTCTACAGATTATTATAAGTGCCACTGCACATCAAGTGGAACTTGTCAGGAAATTTTATCAACTTGGGGCTTCAGAAAAAGGTCAAACATGGACTCAAAATATAACTTAAAACAGCCTAAATCATATCACAGTGCCATGATCATTGTTTACAGTTGTGCCTTTCTGTGTTGCTCATTGCAAGCACTTCAACATGGAGTTTGATTATTAGGAACACTTATTCCACAATACACATTTCAAACAGGCATGATTAAAGACCGCTTGGCTTACCCAGTTTGATACATCCACCAATACCAAGGAGAGCAGCTGCACTGTGGTAAAGGGGCAGAGTTGTATAGATAATATCATCAGAATTGGCTCCAAAAGCCCATAATCCAGCAGCTCCTCTTAGGGCTTGCATTTGACTGATAACTGCAGGCTTTGGTAAACCTAAAGAGAAAACACACAGACCTTTGAAGGAGGTCAAAACCATGGACATGTTTCCACATTACAGTGTGCAAATTTCACCTGTATGCTTGTTTTCAGCTGACGATACCACCAAGAACCGCATCATCCATCACTGCAGTAGCCTTGTACTTTTCAAAATCATTTTTATTATTCACAGGGTGACAAATGAATGCATAGTGCATGTGGAGGTACATGTGCACGCGCGTGTGTCTGAAAAGCAGGCAGCCTGCCTAAAACATAAGGCAAGAGCGAGAAGACTGAGTTAAGACTAAGTTCACTGGGAGGTCACATAGCAGAAGTTCAGACTTGTTACAAGTTCTCTTTTCCAGTTAAGACCCAATCCTACTGATTATGGAATTTCCACAACAGCAATCAGTTATGATCGAATTGTTCTTTTGTTTGTTGTAAGCCATCCAGAGACTTTTTTAATGGGACAGCACGGAAAAACTTTAAAAATAAATAAATGAATAAATATTCTCTTTTCCCCCCAACCTCTTCATCTCTAAATCTCTTTGGTAGGGTTTCCTACCTGAACTATTGTAAATTCTGCTGAATTTCTGCTAACAGGCAGGAAATTTTCAGTATTCAGTTTCAGGTAATTTTAAAGCTATAGTAATTTAAATTAAATTAAATAACACAGATGTGGGTTAGAACCACATTCCTAGTGTCTCTGTCATCTATTGTTGACCTTTGGGGAGGTACTGGGTTCCAATTATATAGAAACGTTAAGAATATTCTCTTTAGGTGAGTGGAATGCTGCGAGTGGTATCCAGAAAACCTCATGGATGCTTGAATTTCAGTAATTAAAGGCAAAAAATTATGCACATTTAGATAGAAAGAAGACCTACAGCTCCTAGCATTTCCATGCCAACTAGGACATGCTGGGAGTTGTAGGACTTTTCTCCTATCTAAACACAATTGAATTTGTGTCCCTAGGCATTTAATTTAAGACATAAGCGCTAGCTCCACAATTTCACTCACTCCTGCAAATGACTGGAATTGCACACTAAATTGGAACTCTACATTAACATTTAGCAAAGGAGGGTTAAAGCCAAGAGAACACTGTAGATATTTCACAGAAATATCAAGCTGCTTTTAATCAAAATATTTAAGTCAAATGGTCACAAATAGGACCTCTTAAATAAATAATTTTTTGCTTTAAATATAATTTATTTATTTGATTTCTATTCAGAACAATAACTCTCTGGGCTGTTCAGAACAATTAAAACAATAAAATGCAAGACAAAAGATACAATTTAAAAGTTCAAAACTACAAATATAAAAACATATATAACCTAAGATTCAAAACAGAAACTGAAAAACTAAAAGACCTGGGAAAATATAGAATCATAATTTAATTTTACATGTTACTTAAAAACGAACTAATGATGGATTCTAATGATTTAAGGCTGGAATTTTTGTATAAGGATTGTGACTCAACCACCAAAGCACTTAAGGCTAAATGAAAATACCTGTGTTATAAAACAACATAACATGATATAGCTAATATATGCCTTTGTATCTCTAGATGTATGTTTCAAAAGAAGCAGCTTTATATCTATGCTTCAAAACAAGCAGAGATCTTAGCTTCTTACTGTCTGTACTAGTGATAATTAACCTAGCCATCTGTTTCAAAACTAAAGAACTAATCAGTAACTTAATCCAATTTTCTTTCTCAACAGCGACCTGTAGGCTAATCTAGCTTGAACAAGAAGCATTTCATAACGGATATTAAATACGTCAGGAGACTGCAAAGCTCATGAAACCTACTTCTAATCTATAGGTCATGTCCAGAAAATAAGCTATTGTGTTGCTGTTTTCAAGCCCAGAACCTTTCCAGGCAATATTCTCAGGTATCAATGTATATTTGTAGAGTGTTGTTATACAAGGTGATCTGGAAAAAATAGAAAAATGCAATGACCAGTTTCACACCTAATGGCTAGCTGTAGGTTTTTTAAAACATAGTTTAGCCATGGCTATGCTGCTGTGAATGATCCCATAGCCCCCCATGTACTAAATTGCTTCCATTTTATATCTGCTTCATATAACCACAACATGCCTGTTCCTGATTGCTGTCGTGAAATGTGAACTGGACACCTTGGGCTGCGCAGGGTGAAAAATGTAGACTTTCAACTTAACAACAAGCCACTTGTTCAAAGTTCAGAAAGGTTACCAGGCAACCCACTGTTTGTTCACAAGAGGTTCCCTGATCATGTGCACCAGGATAATCTGTCCTGCAGTTAACCATTCTACACCTTACAGATTATTATACCTGTTGTTCCTGATGTGAAAATGTAGAGGTGAGGATCCATTAAGTTATTAGTAACACGAAGATTAGCTGGTACAGCATCATCCGAGGCAACTTCCAGCTTGTCTAAAATGGTATCAACATGTGGTAAACTGCATTCTCTTGTCATCACCCAAACACTAATATCTTCTTGCAGACTAGGAAGAATTTCCTCTAAGGACTCCAACAGATCTTTAAAACAATAACATTACAACATATTAAATAGAACGCTAGATTCAAGGATCACATTTTTTGCAATTAAAACAGTCTTGCACCACTATGAAGCCTTGTGCTATCTTTACCAGGCAGGCTTATGGGTAATGGAGCAAGATAAAAGTCTAATAAGGGTGTAAAGTATCCATGGCCACAGTCCATATCATCTGGACTAACCACAATTTAGTGCAGATTTATAAACATATACATTTATATACATGTAAAATGGTACAAAAATCTTTGGGCAGTATCATATACCACCTCTGAACCACAACTTGTTTCTGTTGTGCTAAAAAGTATTATTACTTTTCTTATTACTTATTTCATTTGTATAGTGTTCTTTTGCTGGGGGGGGGGGGCTCACAATGCAACAGAGAAATATGGTTCATTTAAAACCAGATATGGATCTTTACTGTTTCTTTATGGCTGTGCCTGAGAAGGAAAGAGGAATGTTTGGGCCCAAGGCTCATTCCTGTTATGCTTTATGATCAGAAGCAGGCTTTTATGTCAGTCATGCTTCCCTAAGTGACCAGGTTCTTTTTCCAAAGGTTTGATGGAAATTATCTCCACTTACAATTCCTCTACATACTGCTTATATATTAAATCCGCTGGGAGAGGTCATCAGGAGGTGTGGGCTGTGGAATCCTCAGTATGCTGATGATACCCAGCTCTACATCTCGTTTTCCACCAATCCAGGTGAGGCACTGGCTGTGCTGAACCGGTGCCTGGCCGAGGTAATGGGCTGGATGAGGGCCAATAAACTGAAGCTCAATGCAGACAAGACGGAGGTCCTCGTGGTGGGTGGCTCGGGCCTCGGGATGGGGGACTTGGGCCTTGTCCTAAATGGGGTTGCACTCCCTCTGAGGGACAGGGTTCGCAGCTTGGGAGTGCTCCTCGACACTGAGCTGTCTTTAGAAGCTCAGGTAATGGCGGTGGCGAGGAGCGCCTTCCTTCAGCTTCGGCTGATCCACCAGCTGCGTCCCTTCCTGGAGAACGACTGCCTGGCAACAGTGACACACGCGTTGGAAACTTCCCAATTAGATTTCTGCAACGCGCTCTACGTGGGGCTACCCTTGAAGACGGTCCGGATACTTCAATTGGTGCAGAATAGAGCTGCCAGGCTGCTGACGGGGACTGGGCGCTGTTCTCATATAACTCCAGTTCTCTGTCAGCTCCACTGGCTCCCGATTGAAGTCCGGGCCCAATTCAAGGTGTTGGTTATGACCTATAAAGCCCTCAATGGCTTGGGTCCTGGGTATCTAAAGGAACGCTTGTGTCCATATATACCCTCCCGCCCCTTGGGATCAGCAACAGATGCCCTTCTCTGGGAACCCTCTGTGAATATTAGGAGGGTGAGGACCCAGAGAAGGGCTTTCTCTGTGGTGGCGCCCCATCTATGGAATGCGCTCCCCAGAGAGGGCTGCCTGGCACCCTCGTTATTTGTTTTTCGGTGCCAGGCTAAGATCTTTTTATTTAAAACTTACTTTAATTGCTGATTTATTGGTTGTTTATAGGATTTTAAATCTTTTAAGTTGAGATGCACCAGGTTTTAATATTTTTATTGTACAATTTGTTGTATTTTGTTCTTATTGTGAGCTGCCCCGAGGCTTTGTTGCGATGGGGGTGGCATAAAAATGTTTTAAATAAATAAATAAATCGAACGTCAATTTGTAAAGGACCAGCATGTTACAGCTGTTCCCATTCTCTTCGCAGAGTAGCACTAAGTTTACGTATGCCCTATCAGACATCTCAGGTCAATATGCCACACTCCATCACTTCCTAAACTGATATCTCACAGAGCATGTTTATTAAATAAACCTACTTTGCCTGATTTTCAACCATCATTAGAAAGCATTCATCCTCGCCTTATTTTTATAATATGTATTTAATCAATGGAAGAACTTCCTGCCATCAATCTTAAATTTAAGCCAGTTGTGATTTTCTCATAACATTCAGGCTAATGCAGTTTTCAAAAGGATGGACTGAGGCTTTTAAAGTGAAATAGTAAACTACAAAAAAACAAATGATTCATATACAACTCCAGATGTCACTGGTTTATACTTCAGTTTCACTGTAAGTGCTGGAAAGAATCAACCCAACATTGGTCTTCCACAACTTATGTCAGTAATTTTTAAATAGAGCTAAATGTTTCCCAAATTTAAAAATTCAGAACATTTGGTAATTAATAACACTCATTTCCTCCACATTTGTGCACTGATTTATTAATACGTTGCCTTTAAAACATATTAATGAAAACATTAAGAAAAAAAAGAGTTGACTCAAATCTCAAAGAACCATTTTGCAAAAGTTGGAAGTCCACTTCAAGTAAGAATTTATACCTACATACAGCTGGTCAGTTGCTGTCATGATCAGTTGCTACAGCCTGTTAAATATTATATGCTTTGCCCTTTCAATATACAATAAATGACACATGGATGCATTCAGGATGTAACATGGAATTAAGTTCTATACAGAAATTTAGCCTTGTGTGAAGTGATCTGGGAGACTAGCATCATGATAACTGAAATATAATTTCATTTTCTGGAGAGCCATCATTGAAATCCCTTTGGTACTCACTAAAAAAATTCTTCTTTGAAATAGGTAATATACATCAGCTTCCTCATGTAACATGTTGTGTTACATGAGAAGAAAACATAGTTCTTAAATGGTTTCACCCATCAATGAAAATTAGTGTAACATCTGCTGTATTGAATTGAGTATTCTTTCAAACCTCAGGATTTTGCATGGTACAGAGACCTGTACATGGGCATGCAAGTATGTCTGGCAACTTCAGATGTAGTCTATGACAATTTGGAAGCATTATAAGGCACATTCATCAGGTAATTTCTAAGGGTATCAGTCTCATTATCCTGTGCTGCATTGTTCATCCACTGAAGGGGAGTTATGAGGATGATCTTCCAATATTGGAAGGCTGTCAATGAAGAATGAGCAGACTTGTTCTCCTCCAGAGAGCAGTACTAGAACCGATGGATGGAGAATGCAGGTAGGCACAGGTAGGGCAAGGTCCTAACACCAAGAACCCTTCAATAGTGAAACAGGCAGCCATGAGAAGTGCTGACAGGGCTTTGCTGTCTAAGGAAAAGGATGTGATGGCCATCATCACTTACCAACTCAAGAACAGGGAACTTTAGCACTGGTGAATGATATGTTCCACCCCACCTGAGGCATCAGGTTAGTTTAATGCAACCCAGATTTGTTGTGTGGCAGATACTGCTCTGCTCGCCAAAAGAAATGAGCAGACACGGAATCCCGAACGAGCAGCTAATGGGTTGCTCCTGTTTTCTGTAGCATATGCTTCCTGAGACAACTGTTCCATTCTGCCTAAGGGGAGATTTGGCAATGAGGGGCTGAGCTCTCCTTCATCCCTTCCCCTTAGCCAACCAATAGATTTAAGCAGAGGATGAATGGCCTCTGAATGCTTCCTGCTCTGTAAATTCATTTCTACACTGAGCAGGGAGTTAGACCAGATGAACCCAGTGGTTCCTTCTAACTCTGTGATTCTACCCAGCAGTCTCTCCCACAAATGTTCCTCTTCGGCATTCATATTATCCTGGCTAACACAGGTTTATGGGCACAAAATGTACATTTGCAGAAGTAACAAGTCATTTTGTTCCAACAGGTAAATTCTTAACAGGTAGAATAAATGATCAACCTTTGTGGACTCTTGCTTCCAGTTAACAGCATGTATTAGAAACAAACAGAGCAAGTCAGAAGGGGCCTCCTGGGCAATCTAGTCTGAGCCCCGGCTCCAGCTAGCTCCACTCACAACATGCCTACCATATTAAAAGCATCATCAATCTGTTTGCAAGTGTGGATGTCTACAAAGAGGAAGGAATCCATCCACCAAATCACTCTTTAACCTCTTCCCTTCTAAATGGGTTAAAGCATACTTGATTTACATTCCTCTTGTGGATCTGCCTAGATATCCTCTAACAGTTCAGAAGTAATTTTAAATATCTCTGCTGTCCCCACTATCAAGCAGGTCATAGCTTGCCTTTCTACTGAAGCACTTGGATTTTTTTCCCTCCTGAATGCAAGTTAGAACAGCTTTGCCTGCAGAAATCATTTTATACATTCAGGTTTCAACTGATGAGTGGCAGACGTCACATGGTTGAATGCTCTCCCACCTTCCTGCACATACAAAACCAGCCTGTCACCGAGCCAGCTTTATCCTGATTTTCTCCCTGATCAGCTATTTTCTATACTTGTAGAATTCTAGTACAGGTAAGTATTCAAACACTTGACCCTGTAATCTGCTGCCTGAACTGTTACAGCCACGCGGGGGGGGGGGCGGGGGGACAAAATACCTCCATCTCGATTTTCTGGGACGCGGGGAGGGATGAAGCGTCCAATGGCATAAGAGGAAAGCGCAAAGATCTAGTCTGCACAGTACCTGCTCCCACCACCAGCATCTTGGGCGCGCAGCTGCTGATGCAGTGCAGCAGAGACCTGGCGCGGATGTTGAAATTGAGGAAAGACACCACACAGCCCAGCTTGGCCAAGCCGAACCACACGTGGATGAAATCGGGCTCGTTGCTCATCAGCAAAGCCACGGTGTCTCCCCTTTCCAGCGTCCCTTCCTTGAGGAAAAGCTGGGCCACCCTATTACTCCTCCTGTCCACCGCCCTGTAGGTGTGGACCTCGCCGTCGTAGATGAGGAAGGGCTTGTCGGGCTGCTTCTCGGCCAGCGTCACGAACCTGTCCAGCACCGTGTGCAGCTTGCCCCGCAGCCGGTCGGCCTCCACGGTCACGCCATACTTCAGCACTTTGAGCAAAAACTTCAGGTCCACCCAGAAGTAAGGGAAGAAGAGCTTCTGGAGGAGGTGCAGGCAAAGGAAGAGCCCAGAGGCCGCCCCCGTCACCCAGGAGTACAACATGGGGGTTGGCGGGGGCAAGGCGAAGCCGATCACTGCAGAAACGCTTCAGCCCCCGCTTCGCCACGCAGCACGGCGCACGCAGGGACGAGGGCCGTCGCCGCTCCCGGGGCAGAGAGGAGGTGGCAAGGGAAGCGCAGGACGCACGCAGCAGGTTGACGAGTCCCGGGACGCCTCCGCGCCCAAGGAGGTGGCGAGAGAAAGAGGCGCGGGACTTCGCGCCAGCCCACCTGCCGTGCGCTCCGAGAGGCGCAGCGAGCGACCCCTTTGCCTCGTCCGAGCACAGCGCCTGCTCGCGGGAAAACGCGTCCTCGCTCCAGCCCTTGCATAAGGCGGCAGGCTGGACTGCGCGCCGGCCTCGGCTCCGCCCCTTCCCCGGGGCGCTCAGCCACCCACCCCGCCCTAGGGTTGGCGCTTGTGCGCTCGGACGCCGCGGAGCCGGTCCTCCTCCGCGCCGTCCCGTTAGCCTTGCGAGAGTTGTGCAGCCTGTGGGACGCAGCTGGGCCGGGCCAGTCCGGGGAAGCCATGTGCTCTCCCTTACGCAATCCCGTGAGAGCTGCCAGATGGCCCTGGCCTTAACTTTGCACCGAACGTCCTGCGTGTCAGGACCCCACAGCTTGTCGCACGCAGGATCCAACTGGTTTTGGCTTTGGCTGCTAGACTGGTTCGAAGCCCTGGGTTTCCCTCGGGGCCAGCACGCCTTGGCAGTGGAGGGACAGGTCGGTGGCTCATTCCCTGCTCAGCCCCGGGCTGACCGTGTCAGGACCGAAAAAGGAAGAGCAGTCGCAGTGCAAAAACAGTAACCAGAACGACTAGTGCTACCACTTATTTTTCTCTTCCCTCCCCTTCCCATATTCCTTGTGTGCCATTTTCTTACATTTGGAATACAAGCTTGAGGATGGACTACTGGGCTACTTGTCTTGTAAGACACTCTGGCTAAATAAAAACTGGGTTAAATACTTAAAATAGATGAAAGGCAGATAAATGTGCAAAGATGTAGATTACATTCTCTCTCTTTCTGGGCAGCATGCTGGAGAGGACTGGACTCTAGAAAAACTGCAACCTGCAACCTTAACCTACACTCTCACTTTCTCTGGGCAGCATAGCAGGAAATACTGAGCCCAGTTCCTATCTCTCTAGTGCCCAGAGGAAGAGGACAAAAGAGGTCAGCAATGGGACCCCATGCCAGGACCTTCCACTTGATCCTCTTGCTTGCGTGCTCATCGGCGGCACCAGTGCCAGGTTTCTGGGGTTTCTCGGGAAAGATCCTCTCAGTCAGTCTACCGTTAAACACCACTGTCAGCAGCTACTATTGCAACTGCTGTCAGGATTACTACCACTTGAGTGTTTGACAGGTAGTAATTAGCAATGGCATCCATTGGTCCTCCCCACCACCTCTGTGCTTCAGACCTGAACAAAAGGCAGGTTGTGTTGTTGAAGACAAGCAACTCCAGAGATCCCCTGCTGGGTTGTGGGCCTTTCCCAGGTGCCCAAGCATGCCAACATTTGACGTCAGCCCCGTTCAGCTTTCCTCCCCCTGGCTAGTGCAGCAACATTGAGCAAACCCAATATTTCCACCGCACCCACGGCCGTCTTAATGCATGGGCCTGATGGGCACTTGCCCGTGGGCCCCATACTAATCTGTGTATGTTAACCCTTGGAAAATTGGAAAACTTCCAAAATTAACAGTAGTTGTAGTTGTTGTAGGGGCCCCAGTACACTGCTTTGCCTGGGGCCCATAATGCTGTTAAGACGGCCCTGGCTGCACCATCCAGAAAGTAGCAGCAGATGCTCCTCTTTGTCTTGCCTGCTTTTTCTCTTTCCCTGTGCAGTGCAGCTATGAGAAGTGGGACCAGTCTTGCCTTATTTCCTAGGACTACTGTTGGGCAATATGGGCCAGTAGGAGAGAGACTGGCAGCTATTTGACTGCCATCCCTTTCTCTCTGGATAACACATTAGGGGAGACCAGTCGGCACTGTTGTTGGACCTCCAAGAATGAGCAAGGAAGCTACCCAAAGTGAGCAAGCGACTGATATGTGGTGTCGATGGCTTCTGCTGCTCCCTTGCCCTCTCAGGAAAAGCACAGGAGGAAGGCTTGGGCTGCTGAGCCTGACACCATCTCTCAGGGTGAGTGGGCACATAATTACCAGCTGCTTTCTCTGGTTCATGTTCTCACTCTCTGCCTTTCAAGGATATCAGCTAAACAAGGGTAGGCAGGAGCAACACTCCTTCTTCTTGCTCATGTTCATTCCTGCATTCAACTTCTGTGCAACTCAGGACTCTGCAGAGGCTGTTTCTCTTGCCTTCCAGGAACGTTTGGCACCTGGACAATCAAGCTGACCCCATCCTTTGGCCAGAGCAGCTGCAGAATGCTCTGGCCAAAGGAACTGGCCCATTCCCTGTGCCCACTCAATACATTTACTTTCAAATTCTGGGTTGATCACCTTGTTTGTGCAAGCAACCAATCTTAACTTTCTGAATACATTTGCTACTAGCAGCTGATTTAAATTTTTCTAAATTAAGTTGCAGCTTCAATTATTTCTCTCAACACCTCTACAAACTTCTCTTGGCCTTTTAAAACAAACAAAAATAATCATGGTCTAAGGAACATAAACACCCATCACAGAATCTACCTGAACAGACACAATGCTATGACACAGACATTTAAGTATCAGATCTTTCAGCAACTCATTAACCCTAAATTTGTCCTCATTAACTTTTTAACTGATCCTCTCCTTGCAGTGCACTCTTAGTGCCAGATTCCCTGGGGCTTTTGAACTGTACAGTGTGGAAGACATAGGGTAGAGTGGGTTTCTTCCTATCTCCCTGGCGTTTCAGAAAACCACAGTGTTGTACTATTGATCAATCTACTTATTTGTGTTAGTTGGGAACTATTCAAAGGTTTTCAAGCAGTACAAAAAAATCCACTCCATCTTCATCTTAGATTTCTTCAGATTTTCCCTTTACTTCCCTGTACCTGTTTGAGTTCTTTAACTAAATATCAGCCCCTGCACAAACTTTTCTAGGGATTTATTAGCCAACTGCCTGTCTAGTGTCAGAAAACTTTTCTTTTGTATCTCTTTTGTTGTTTGAGTTTCTCTTGGAAATCACTGAGACTCTGAATGTGAGAAGCTCAGCACCTTTTCTTTTTCTTTCTAGATCAAAAGTAGTATTCAATGGCCAATGTTTTTCTTCACTTGATTAGCTAGCCCATCATCTCTGAAGCCTCTGAAACTGGCCAGTGACCATTCCTCTCCTTTGCCCTTCCTGATTCCAAGTCATATCTGAATTGTAATGTGGAAAAGAGATTGGAACTTATAAACATATGTGGTGGGATTGTGATACTATACAAAAGATATGGGTTATGGTGTTTAATGAAATGAGAGAAATTCTAGATACAAATCTAGAAATGTCACCCAGAATTGCATTATTCCTGCTGATTGAAAAACAAGATATAAATGAAGTTAAGAAAGAATTGATCCTATACAAAGGAATGAATGGTATAATGAAATATGGAATATGATTGTTAATGATAATTTGACAACAGAAATACAAATTAAAAAGGGCAATAAAAGTAAATAAATATGAAATATGGGAAGATTTTGTAAAAGCAGTACTGATGGAAGGGAAAGGCTGTAAGCCTAATCAAGAATATATGAATTTTTTGAGAGGATATGGGTATAACTAAAGTATATCATATATTGTTAATTGTTATATGAAGTAAAATGGAGATATAAACTGGTCTCCTGGACAGCGGATGCACAATTTTTGTGTGTGTGGTGTCTTTTTTAGTTATCCGTTGGGTTGTAGATGTTAATATTACCAATATATTTTGATATGTATTGTAAGAAAAAATAGCTGAATTGTAATATACCCCACATTTTTAAGAACTTGCAAGGTTTTTTGCCCCTCGTAGTTAGAAAACATGTAAAATACTGGTGTCCCTGCTCAAGTAAAGTAATGCAGTTAGATTGTGTGTTACCTGTGTCCCCACTTTCTCACAGGGCTTTCACACAGGATAAGCTTATGGAGAAGTCTGTATGGCACTGAGAGAGAATGAATTCATTCAGGGGCACAGACATTTCCTGACCTTCTAGATCTGGCCCATGTCACCCCAGTGGGTGGGAAATAGGGAAGGAAAGGGTTTTCCACACACATTCTGATTGCTGCTCCATCTTGTGTGGACTCGAGCAAGGACCTCATTACCTGAGGGCTACACCACACACTCACACTGTTCCCGATCAGCAGCCAGACTCAGCCTCGCTTGGCATTCAGCTCTTACATTATGAATCCAGCCCACAACCTCTGCAAAACCTCTTCTCAGAAGCCAGAAAACCACAGGACCCTTGCTTTCAGTCTAATCTCAGTCATCAGCCAACTGGCCTAGCAAGTCAGGAGGTGTGACTGTGTGAAGAATTGTATTATCTGAGGTATCACCACCTCCTATACTTCTGTTACCAATCCTGAAAGGGAACACCACTATTATATATTTTAAGATGTTTACCCTCCCACATCTTAGAACTATATTTATAGTTGAGAATACAGAGCAAAGTTTAGGGGCATACAAAGGTTATTTGCAAGCATGAAAAGAAGAATTTCTTAGAAAAGAGAGAAGTTACTTTAACAATCAGTTACCCAACATCACATGATTTACTTAAAATTCATTTCTGCTGATATCTACATGACTAAGCACAAAACAACCCCTTACACTTTTGACCCCTACAGTTGCCTTAGTTTCTTTAGCTAGCCATTCTTCAGCAACCCCGTGCTGCTGCCTCTTCATTTAGGCTTCATTTAGTCTACCCTATTGATCAGCACTGACTTCTGTTAGTTATCTTGTGATTTGCAGTTTGTTTCTACGTTGAAGACACGTGAACCATGTCTATGTGTTAATGCTACTCCAATGGTACAGAGGCAGGAGGCCTAACAGCATATAGTTTGCCTCCAAAAACCAGATGTCTGTCCACTGGATTTCGTCTCTCTTTCCCCAACAACCTCACATTTCATTTCATTTAGCAGAAAAAGCACATGCATAAAATAGATATCACAGTCCTGTTTTACTCACAAAATTAAAGAATTAAACAATTTAATACTCCACCCATCCTCCTGGCAGTAGAATTATTTGAGGTTGCCCTATCTATTAAGCATTGTGAATAAAGCTAGAGTTGGTTGGAATATACATTAAGTTGCAAAATCATCATCGTCATCGTCATTGTCATCATCATAATCCCATGAGTAAGTTTAGAAAGTAAAGCCTTCCAAGCCCAGTTATGTTCTTTGCATAAGTTTTGAACTCACCCA